TACTCTCGCGAGTGCTATCAGCCGCGACAAATCGCGAGGCGACATCCGGGGTGAAATCAGAAATTCGTAACGTTTGACGAGTCGCCGTTCCTTACCGGCTTGCCGAAGGGCGCGATATTTTTCCCCGCCCTCCCGGCGATATTTCAGGCGTCCGCCGCGCGGAAAGCGGAGCGGTATACGCGTACCGGTCATGAAGATATCCCGCCGGGGAAATAGCATCTCCACCCATTACGCGGGAACACAGATAGATTAGGTGTACCTTATTCGTCTTCCAACGACCGGAACTCCTCCTCGTTCTTCATCCCTCTCTGGCCTCGTCTGGCGGCAGCACGCGCGTCCTTATCTTATCCTCGCTTTTTCACCAACCGCGAGCTTCCTCCCCCGCACGCGGGGCTCGTGTAAGCGACGCGTGCAGTTTCTCTTCGGGGGAGTGACGCCTCTCGCCCGCGGGACGCGGAATTTTTCTTTATCCCGTTCCCGTTTCCCGCGGACTCCCGGGGTCTCCTCCAGCGCGTGGCCCGCAAGTCGCAATTAATTTTCCGTCCGCGCGAGAACGCGTCCTCCCGGCGGCGATAAATCAAGCAACGGAGTTTCAATTTGGCGCAACGAGCCGTGGCCACGCCGAGAATTCTCATTACGAAACGCATGTCGTTAATCAATGGAATCGGTCGACCCCTGCGTCCCAGGCGGAAAAACGCCCGGGCTTTGTACACCGTTGCGACGTATCCCGCGGGTGTGATGGATGCGCATTTATTTCACGCCACTTGACGATTCCCGAAACCGTACGAGACTGTCGCACGTAAGAGAGCCTCGTCGTAATTACCTGTAAACTCGTACCGCCGTTCGTAGCAACGTAGAACGTTACTCGGGGGGGAAACCGCTGAGGGCATTGTGGCGCACAGATTTGCGGCATTACTGGGCGTTACTAGGCATTTTTTGGGCATTATAAAGATAAAATAGAATAATAAGATAAAGTAATGCCCACTGGGCATTAGTGGGCATTGGTGTACAAGATTTTGGTCAGCGGTCTCCCCCTCGACGTTACTTTGCTCGCTTTGGCGGAAAGTTATGAAAAATGCGGGTTCTTGCCGCGTGTTCCCTTCGTGGAGACTTAGTTTTTACAATTTTCCATCACGTCGCGATAAGTGTCGCGCTCAGTTTGCTGTATTGCTGAAGGATGAATTTCTCGTGCGCTGTTTAATCTCGATATCGACGACGGCACGGGCGGGTCGAAAAGTTTGGCACGTAGCGCAATGCCAGTCGAGTAACGAGGTCGTTTGCGCCCGCGCGCGCGCACGCTCGATCGGATAGCTTGCTCGGCATCTTGCTTACAAGACACGTAGCATCGGCAGGGGTTATCGAAAATTTAATAACGTTCGAATTAATAATGCCGGTGTTGCTGCGCGCGACGGCGGGTGCGAGAGACGGAACGCTACATCGCGGAAGAGCAATCGGGCTAATAACGCACCGGTTGGAGCGGACGGATAAATTAAATTAATCATGCATCATGCAGGAGTCGGGACGTTAGATCCGATCGTACATTAACCGAATAAGCCGCGCTAAATCTCTTCTGGACACAATCGGCTGAGACGAGACGACTGTTGTCATTGACGAAATTTATATCGATTGGGAATATCTATTTTAGTTAGATTCACTTCGAGTCAAGTTATTGATTTTCGTGTCGTAACGTTTATTCGGTTAACGTCACGCGACACGTCAATTTTCCCGGCGAATTTAAATAACTTGCGAATATGAAGTGTATTGATAAAAACGCTCAAGCGTAGCCGAGCCGTTGTCTATCCGTAAAGGAAATCTCATGAAATAAGTCGTCCTTTTGCTTCATTTCCCAACAATCACGAATTCCTCAAGTTTTCCAAACCATGCTCCGTAATTGGACACGGCGTTACGTGTTGACGAGCTTATTTCCAAGCGCTGTAAATCATCGGGGAGTCATGCCGTGTGGGCGATAGTTGCCGCTGCGAAAAAGATATTCCGCTGGTCATTAACGTCCGAGCAGGAACTTCCCCATCCGGCGGTCGTTATCGCCATTCGGAGGTTCGCTTCTGCTATTTTCGTGGACGCGCCGTTACGCCCGCCGCGAGAACGTAGCGCTTAAAGCGCTTAAGTTTTCCCTCTAGCATCAATTTTAACTTGAAATCCTAGCTCCGCGCGTGAATATCTTACGAGGACCACTGATGTAAATCTCGTATTAGAACGAAGACAGGTAATGAGAGTACGACGGGCATGGGATTTGTGTTAACTTGTACGGCTACAAGAAGTCAATTACTCTTGAAAAAAAAAACTGCAGCGTGCGGCGAAACATCGTTTCTCAATTATTATTTTTAGTTACGAATTAAAAAGGATTTCTGACTGGGATTTTCGCGGTTATTCAATTTTGTCTCTTTCATTGTTAATTTACAAAATAATATACTTCTCTAACAAAATTAAAAATATTCTGATAAAGTTAACAACGTTTCTAGATTTTTTAAATTATATGTGAAAAATGTGCACGCGCACGACGAGTACGAGTTTCTATTTAGCGAAAAAAGGTAGAGCCGCCCAACGGACCATTTATTAGTGCATCTAATAACAGTCGACAAAAAGGGAAAAAGCAATTTCATGCGATACGAATACACGTATGTAGGTTGTGAAAATGAACGAGGCACGCGCATATACATATTGTTAGCACCGGCGCTTTGGCGCTTCGGTAGCGGAGTTGTCTACGAAAATTTTAATTGGACTGCGCATATGAATATCACGTATAGCATGTCAGACCCTAATCGCGTAATCTACTCGTCTCGCTGAAAGAATCAACGTTCCTTTTAGCTCGAATTGTTTTTCCGAGCTCGCTCGCCTGCCACGCTAATACTATTAGCTCCTTATAGTCTCAGCCATTAGAAGTTGGTTCCGGCAGGAGGAACGATAAGGGTACCCGGTATCTAGACAGAGACAATGGCGCGTTGTTTTCCAAAAGAAAATAAGAACGTCCGACTTTATTCGTCGCTCAATTAGTTCTTCCAGTACCGAGTCCATCTCTTTCGATCACGCGATGCGCGAGAGAGCGGAATAGACAATTTACTCCCCATTAGTATATAATTATAATGCATAATCGATGCTCTTTCTAAAACAGTTCCTAAGACTGTTTGTTTTTCAAGAGCATTCTCTATCCTTGATTAATTTTCTCGTATATTTTTCCTTTGCCGTCGTATATTTTGGTGTCGCTTGGACGGTTTATGATGCGACGGTGAATTAGGAAGCTGCCGCGCAATCTGGAGCCCGATAATTAATCGTCCGAACAAATCCGCGTGACTCGATCATTTAATATAATGCCTGCTGTGCCAACCAAACGTGGTCACGGCCTCGCCAAGACAAATTATCGACCGACGCTCCCTACTTGGAAAACGTCCAACGTCAAGTCACTGTCTTGAGGCGCTCCAATTGTTCCGAGTTCCATTACTGTTCAGGGTCGAGCACCGCGCATGGAAGAGCTTGTAACTTGATTCGTTTTGAGCATAGAGGATCCTGAGCTAGTGGATTTTTTCACGTTCGGGCAAAAACGAAACGTGTCACTGGTTAGTACTGCACGAATCCCCGCGGGTTAGTCTCTCCCCTTTGCTCGAATTACATGGAATTCTTAAACACGCAGCGGGTAGCGTAGCGGCGTAATTGCAAAAACGCGATACGGCGGTAATTAACAAGAAATCGTGCCGCGACGTCGGAGTCAAATGAGATATGGTTTTTCACGGCTACCCCGTGCCGTTTGTGCGCGATGTCTCAGTTTTTAAACGTCGTGCTATTTTCATCCACGACCAAAGGTAGCTCTCGCGAAACGAATTCGTCTAACCGGATTTGATAATTAAATTTAAAAAATGGTATTATATTATAATTATTTGATAAAAAGCCGGGGGAATTAATTTTTCTCCGCCTATTTAAAAACCTGTCGCTGCTGTAATGTTATAAAAACATTGAAAATACGTCAAATAAAAATGGAACGTGACGATAAAAATTTGAAACTTCTTTTCAACGATACTTTTCGTCTCGCAATTGATTTAATTTAATGAAATAACGTTTATTACTTTGCTGAGCGAATCGATATAGAATTATTGATGCATTCCAATATTTTTTGACTTCGCTGAGCAACAATATTAATATCGTGATATATTGAATAACGAAGTATTTAACATATGCTGTGAAATAATATTAGTGTGTTAAATTTGCGCCATTATGTACATGTTAGTGATCGCTTTTTGAAATTACGTAAACGGCAACAATTGGGTGAAATATGAATATTGATTCGCGCAGCAGAAAATTAATCGCTTTTAATCGGATAATCGATCTTGCGGAGTGTGATAGGGGAAACAGCGCGGCCCGCAAGAGCGAACGCGTATCAACCGATCGTTATTAATCTGCGGGAATAAGGTGGAGTTTCTAATCTGTCCCTACCGAGGCACGTTTACGGCGTAGATTTAATCTGCATTGGATTTAATTAAAATCAAGTGCTTCCACAGTGGCATACTCTCGTTGACAATTGCATGCAGATTGGATTAAGCTCGGAATTAGAACGGAGGGCGAATTCACGCTCCGCGCGAACCCGGGTGCTCGTTTGTCCATATTAATATTCGAATACGTGAAACTAGGGCGAATCACGTTGTAAACTTTCGCGATAGAGATTGTCAATGGCGGCAAGATAATCCGAAATGAGCTCGGATTGTTACCGTCGCCTGCATGTGTGATAGGTAGCTCTAATTTATTTTACCATTGCGCAACCACCCTTTGACATCGGATTAAGCCGTTCGTTCGGCGCCGTTTAAAAATGCGTGGGTTAACAGTGTTTTATATTTAAACCGCGTCTCGCGTCTCCCGGGAGTGGGACCAGCGATGACGCTTTTATGCTACAAACTCGCCACTTGCGCGACGATATTCGACGATCGGAGTTTCCTGAACTCTAAACTTTCAAACGATTTGCCCGTACCTAATCGGAACTTTCATTTCTATTGCAGATCTAGGCAGCTGCTGGTTTGGAAATCTCGAAGATCTCTCGCTTTCCCGCGCATATTCCCTGCGTACGTAGGAGGCCCAAGTTTTCGCCGATAATCCGACTTAGCATCTGCCGCTTAACAAGGCAAGTATAATTATCGGGGATACGAGAAGGACCATTTCGTGAGCAGATACCCGCCTCGTAAGGAGCGTCTCGGATAACCTGGTCGGTTCCTAAGGTACGTAGCTTAAGTCTATCGTTCTCTCTCTCTCTCTTGATTGCATCGGTGGATGACTATGCCAGATACGATCGTCCTTGTGGCGTATCACACCGATCGAATCTTCGCTAGGACTTTCCTACGTTATCTACGATAATAAAACACCTCTAGATTGACGTCATTTTTAGATAACAAAGTTGAAGCTACAGATAAGAGACGTTAACAAGCTTGTTACAGGCAGACAGATTTGGATATTTCATTTACTAGTAGCAATGTCTTTCGCGAAAATTCGCGAAACTTCTTATTTAGTTAAATAATATATACTGTAACTGCATCGGTTACTGATGAACATTCGTGCAAGATGTATTTGTACGTTTAATTGATTTCTCAAAGTCTCGTTCTCCATATTCGTTTCGTGGACAGGGCTTTTGAATGAATAACTGTGATCAGGTTGTTAACTCGGTTATTGACTTTATTCTCGTGACGCATAAAGAATCGCTAGCAGAAGAGTATTACTATTTTTTCGCCAAATTATATGCTCTGAGCGATGCGACAAGCCGAACTGCAGAAATAGAGGGAAAAGGGTTTGTGTACTCGTTACCTGTGAACGAATATATGAAAAATGCATGTCGTCGAGAGAATCGTTATGCTAATTTGTCAGGAAAGCTATGGTTTCGCACGTTGAAGTTGGTACGTGATCTATTCGTCAGGGATACACACCTTTGTACGTACGTTTATTCATACATATACATGCCCGCTGTAATTAAAGCTGTCCATTAGATCGATGTGACAGGCCGTTTCTTCGTTTGCTCGATCCACTTCTGTTGCGTGTCGCTTCGATTCCGATTCTGATAGAGATGTATTCAGTATTCAGCGATTTCAATCTGCAGAAAAGTACAGTAGGGCTAATTCTATGTATAATCAACTTACAATGGCCGTTCTCCAGTAATTAATTATTGTATCACACGATATTTTTTTGCCACGATGAACAGTGGTATAAAATAGTATGTTTGCATCACTCTCTCGGCAAGGAGCTTTTTGCTTTTGACATGTACATTTACAGCGAAACATCCCATTTACAAATATTTGAATTATCGTGCATGCTGCAACATCAAGGAACAGCTGCGTTTTCTAATTATGTTTATGATTTTTAGCGCTGGATAGAGCTTTGCACTCGGTGGTTATTAACGTGGGAATTAACATAAAAGAAAATTGAAATTATAATCGCTTGTATACCTCACGTCCCGGAATTTGAAATGATTTCAAAAGGGATTATACATTTTTTGTTTGCCGTTTTACTATCTAATTGCGAAGATTCGCGCGACAGATTTGATTCCTGTTCAATTTATTAGTAGACCAGTTGTCCGTCTCTTAATTATGTTAAATTTTGTAACGTGTTAATCAACGTATCCAATTTGCGGGGATTCCTGACCTTTGTCAATCGCGATTGCTTGTACATACGCTTCTATTGATAATTATGCGCGAACATACCGTGCTTATCGCACAGTTATTTATATACTCCGACGTGAAACGCAAAAGGGAACAATCGATCGCTTCTGTAACTCAGCCACGTCGGCCAGCCTTGAAAATTCTGGACTTCATTTCCGCTCCCCGCGATTTGAGTTATACTTGGCGAGACTAACGACCCTTTAATTATTCACCTCTAATTGCGAATGCTCCTTGTTACTGGTACGCATGCATTATACGTGGAACGCGTGTTACATCCGTTTTCACGACTACGGTACCTTTCCGTTTCATCCTAGTGAAATTCAAATTTTTTAAGTGCACACATTTATTAAATATTAAAACACGAATACCAACAAAGAGATAATATACACACGACTTTATATATGTATATACGTTTACGTACATGCGATTTTATATATGTGTGTATGTGATTTAAACTATCTTGATCAAGGGTCTTTTACGTTGAGTCTTAACATCTTTCAAAATGATAGATATTTATTGTTACTTAGATACTATCAAACTCGTTTATCGTAGTTGATTCGATACGGTGTCAATATCGATCCCCTTTGTGCTCTAATTTCTGAGATCGCATTTATAGCAATCGCTCCGCGAGATTGTGGGTATAACAATTTTACGCCTTGGTCGATGTACGATCGGTTTTATGATGCGTTGGATTATAATCCCAGTCAATTTTACGATACAGGTGAACTAACGTATCTTCTGATTTATAGTAATTAGATTTATTCAATGCCTTGCGATACGATCAAATTAACCGTTAATTAATTTTCAATTCGCCTTGATGCGTGACGTATGGTTTAAGCGCAATTGTTCAAGTTATGAATTATTAATGTGTGCACCAATATATTAATGATAATTTACTTTGTTCTGCATGAAGTATATACAATATATTTTTTCAACCGAATCAAACTTATCCGCTTGTTAAATATTTTTGAATTTTCCACTACTCTGGTCACATTATTAATTTGATAAGAACCAGTCGATACGATTGTTTAATAGAAATATAATTCTGGATTTACCCGCATGGAGTAGAGAATCGTTTCTATAAAATTATTACGCAATTATTTTGTTCAATAAATTAACGCATTTATCAAGATTTATTATCATAACTATATTTATATTTAGATATAATTATAATAATTTGAATATTGGACACAAATAGAGTACGAATAATACAGCATGAATTATACTACAATACAATTAATAAATCCGCAGAATGATACACAAAACATAGTAACAGTCACGGAACAAAGTAAAGTAAAATATTAAGTACAGAATTTTCAATTTCGTAGGCGGGACAACGGACAACGAACGCTCAACGTTTTTTTGTTGTTTTTCTCTCGGCGCGGTGACGTACGACATTTTTGCGTGCCATCGTGTATCTGAAGATCGCCGCGCTATCACTCGCTCACCGAACGTTGGGCCGGCAGGCTGCAGCGAGAGTCGCTCCGTGTGTCGTATTACTTTTGCGTTATCGGTTTCCAAGACGCGATCGCGATGAATGTGAAGATAAAACGCTATTGATTTGTACACGTTTAATATTAATACGTAACGTTCGTCGACTAAATATTATATCAACGTAAATTTCACGAGACTAACTCATCTAATTGTAAAATATGAATATAAACTGTGGTAATTTGTCGCGATTACATCTCGTTTACGCACCGTGCTTTGAAATTATCTGTCGATTTCGTATAATTTATTTCATTTTCGGGAAAAAAGAAAGAAATTTGTACGGCTGTCGCATTCGCGTTGTAATTCGCTCTGTCGTTGTTCGCTAATTCAAAAGTGATGTATCCATTCTGCCGAATAAAAAATGCAAGTGGTTAGTTTGTATAATTTGTACGACAATCACGAGATATTTGTTAATAAGATTTCGTGCGTTTCGCGGTATTTTATCGCGTACGGGAGTGCCCGAAATCGCCCGAAAATTTCGCGCGATCGATGATTTTCGCGAGTTAGTGTTGTGTGAGTGCCACAAGGAAATCTGAGAGGAGGAGGAGGCTTGGGAAGCATCGGGCAACGGCGGAGCAAGGGGTGAGGTGAGTGTTTTACATGTTTATAATATTTATAAAATTCTGTGAGTTTATATTTAAAAGGAAGACTATTTTTTCGTATTCTATAATTATTTTAATAAATACCTACCTGTATTTTGAAAAATATAAAATAAATATATGTAATAAAATAATTTCGATTTTACATAATTATTGTATAATAATCATATACATATTTGTATTTTTACAGTTGAACGTATATAGTTAACGATGTACAACTCTGGTCTTGCGAATCGTATCAGTGAGTTATAAATTACTTTATATTTTAAATTGTCGTTGCATATACAATACCTTCTTTACATGTGTACAAATTCTTGGAAATATACAATGCTTAACTATAAACTGCGCGCGCCAAGCGCGCGTTTTGTCATTTCTAGTAATATAAATAATGTATAATTTTCTATTTTAACGCACACATCAGGCACATATTAATATAATTCTATGAATATTATAATTTATTATTTTTCAATACGCTTTTATTCTTCGCTATCTATAGATGAAATGCAATTTACTTTGGAGCGTTACCGCGTTTATCGCAAGTCAGTCTAGCGGGGAAAAAAGTCTAAGTTGTTCTAATTTCAAATTTAAATTATCACCTCTCGTTTTATACGGAAGGCTTCAAATTGAAAGTACTTTTTGGGCGTGAAGTCGCGACGGGGAACAACCGGGCAGCCTGTGTGCGTGCGCGCTTCTTTTCACTGGAATGCCATGACGACGAGTGACCCGAGAGTGACGGAATTGTTCGCACTTTATTCCCCATTCCATTATTCGCGGATCGTGGAAATCTCATGCATCACAAAAGAACGACCGACCAATGAATTTACCTTGCGTACTCGTCCGCCTACGTATTACTAATTCATCATCCTTCGATGTGTTCCACTCCTTCTCTCTCGCACTCGAAATTGCAAAAGTCTTACGTACGTGCATTTCAAATACGATCGAATGCCGAAATTAAAAGTGAAAGAATTCCAATTACTGAAGTAACAATTACACAAATGGTTTCGTGAAATAAATCGTGGAGCAAGACGTAAATGGTCGGAGTTACGACTACAAAAACACGAAATGTAAAACAATTTTATCCATTGATTTATTGATTTTAATTGTTCGGACATGCTCATTAGATTTAATTTAGTTATTTTAGTTATTCCGTATCGCGAATGTTCAGTCTGCACGGAGAGAGCTTTCTCTTAAAATTTACCCTGAAAATTGTGTAATCGCGGGACAACGTGGCATTTTTAACAACTTTATGAGAGTCTTTTTGAAATGTTACCATACATTTTACTAGCGAATGTATACGAAGTATAATTACTGTATGGTAAAATTTCAGAAAACTCTCATAAAGTTTTTCAAAACGCCAACGTTGTCCTACGATTACATAATTTTTAAGGGAAAAATTCTCTCTCCGTGTCACATGCCTCGTTGCTCGACACATGCGACTCGATTCATCCCCACAGCATTCACTTTGCTTTCCGCATATTTTAT